ACCCTGCACCGAGGGGCAGGAAAGACGTTGATCAATCGCCCCCGCCCCCCCCCCCCCCCCCGCCTCGGGGCTCCCCTCGCTCCGCCGGCCACTTCTGTTCGCACGAGATAACACAGTCAAACATCCTGTTGGCACAGCCCCAACACAATCACCATAATTCCTCCAGCTCCCAATATGGACCAACAGGCTTGATTAAACACATCAACTCGGAGTAAAAGCCTCATTAGCATCCAGGGTTGGAAGTCCATGCTGCATGGGTAACTGCCGGCCTTCTGATTCTATTTCATTTATGCCTCGGCCCAGTTCTCAGCATGAGATCTCCGCTCCGCTGAATTCAGCATCCAAACGAAATGCATCTGTCTCGTCGGACCTTCAGTCTCAACAAACAGCGAGTCTGGAGTCCCCCAGGCCCCACTCTTTCTACTCAGGACGTGTTAACCCTGGGAAGAGGGGGGAAAGGAAACGAAACAGAAGAGAACAAATACTAGTAAAGGCTTGTTTTCTACACGGGCCTCGAGGGAGCATGTCCTAAATGCAACAGACTCAAGTTTATTTTTTTATTCTTTTTTAAAGTATATTTTTTATTGATTTCAGAGAGAAAGGGAAAGGGAGAGGGAGAGGGAGAGAGAGAGAGAAATATCAATGATGAGAATCATTGATCGGCTGCCTCCTGCACGACCGCTATTGGGGATCGAGCCTGCAACCCGGGCATGTGCCCTGACGGGGAATCGAACCGTGACCTCCTGGTTCCTAGGTCGACGCTCAACCACTGAGTCACGCCAGCTGGGTGAAATGTCTTTCATCTGATGAACGTGGACTTTAGGTTTTCTGTGCCCAAGAAGCCACACTGAGCCTTAGCCTAATGCCAAGCAGGGGGAAGGGAGAATTTTGCCAAATAGTAACAGGGCGCCGATGGGGTAGCAGAAATCCGATGTTCCCGTCAGATTACCCTCTGCCCACAACCTCTCCACCCCATGCCCGGGCACCACCCGTGGCTACCGATGCGTCCAGCTGTTCCAACACCTGCCTGCAGTCCTGACCAGGGCTTCCTGGGCCGGCCTCCATCACAGATCCGGCACAAGTCCTCCATCAGTGACCCAGCGTTGGCCAGCATCGCCGTTGCTATGGCGACAGTCACCCAGGAATACATGAAGTGAGGAATAGGCGCACTGAGCAGGTGTAGAGTCCTCGCCTGGCCTAGCAGTACTGGCTTACAAAGTTTTCTTTTTTTTTTAAAATGTATTTTATTGATTTTTTTACAGACAGGAAGGGAGAGGGATAGAGAGTTAGAAACATTGATGAGAGAGAAACATCGATTCAGCTGCCTCCTGCACGCCCCCTACTGGGGATGTGCCCGCAACCAAGGTACATGCCCTTGACCGGGAATCGAACCCAGGACCCTTCAGTCCGCAGGCCGGGGTTCTACCCACTGAGCCACAGCAGCCAGGGGCATAACAAAGTTTTCTATCTTTCCCCAAGACATTTCCTCCCCGCTCCCCACCGAAGACTTCTTAAATTAGGAGCCAATATGCAGCCACATAATTTCCCTAACAACCACAGCAACGCGATTCCCTCTGGCTGGGGAGGTTAAAAATAACATCGCACGTGCTACTGCAACCAGCCAGAACCTCTAATTTATCTTCTGGAACATCGTTTTGGTTATTGCAGGTGCCTAACTCCCCAAGCCTCACCTGTGATCAAGGTAACTAACCTCTCTAAGGCCCCCATGAGACTTGCCTGCATGGGCTCGCTCAGACTTCCTCTGATACAGCTTCCTACCCCTTTCCTGCACGATACGGTGTTCCAGCAGCGGTGGGAACGTCTTTGGTGGGGGGAAGGAAATCAAGGGTGCTCCTATTGGAAAAATCTGATTTTCATGTCTGTGGCCAACAGCCTCTGGCATTGAAATCAGCTAAATGGCCCTGGCCGGTGTGATTCAGTGGATAGAGCGTTGGCCTGTGGATTGAAAGGTCCCGGGTTCGATTCTGGTCAAGGGCACATGCCTGGGTTGAAGGCTTAATCCCCAGTAAGGGGCGTGCAGGAGGCAGCCGATCCATGATTCTCTCTCACCATGGATGCTTCTGTCTCTTTCTCCCTCTCCCTTCCTCTCTGAAATCAATAAAAATATATTTTAAAAAAAGAAATCAGCTAAATTGTTTACAGTTGTAAAATAGCGCCCCATCACCCCCTGTCAACAGTCTCCCCATTACTAACACCTCAGATTAGTGTGGTAGTTGGTTACAATCAGCGAACCGATACTGTTAACTAAAGTCCACAGTTTATCCAGGCTTCCTTCGTTTTTTACCGAATGTCCTGTTTCTATTTGAGGATGTCTACTGTTCTGCATGCTGCACGCCACTCAAACGTTCCCTTCGCCCCGCGGATGCCACATGAAATGCCTACTGAGGATCTCAGTCAACGTTTGTACTGGCTTTATGTTCACCCGGGTTCACTCTTGGGCTGTCACACGCTGTAGGGATCAATATGCCCGTGATGTAGGCCAGTGAACCGACCGACGAGGAGGGCAGTTCAGTAATCAGTCCAAGATGTCACAGCTGGTCAGAGAAACCAAAATGCCACCCACCGTGCCAGGCAAGGCCCCAGGGGAAAGTGGTGCCATCTGGCCTCCTAAAGACATTTCCACCAGTTGGTGTTTCTCCCTCGTGTTCTTTTAAAGGCTTTTTCTCTGTTTGGTGAGAGTACAAGGCTCGGGAATGATCTCTGACAAGTGTGCACAGGGAGAGGCAGCCTGCGTGTGGGTGTGAGCATGGAGGATGAGCTGGGATGCAATCGCCACTTTGGTATCTCATTCAGATAGACCATGTTCTTCCCGGCCAGTGTGGCTCAGTGGTTGAGCGTCAAGCTATGAACCAGGAGGTCACGGTTCAATTCCAGGTCAGGGCACAGGCCTGGGTTGCGGACTCGATCCCCAGTGTGGGGCGTGCAGGAGGCAGCCGATCCATGATTCTCTCTCATCATTGATGTTTCTATCTCTCTCTCTCTCTCCTTTCCTCTCTGAAATCAATAAAAATATGCTTAAACAAATAAAAATAAATAGATCACGTTCTTTGTAAGATATAGGATTATCTGGCTATTATGCTGTACACCAGAAACTAACCCAAAACAATG